GCTTGCTAGAGGCTGTGGGAAGGGGGTTAGAACAGTTTAAAGGGGGTCAGGGACTGTGAGAGGGGAGGCTAGGGGGTGTGTGGGGATGGGACAGAAGCCCTGTGGGACGGGGACCTAGCCAGCAGGACGGTAAACAGGGATTAAGGCTTCAGAAGAAGGAATGGGATAGAAGCAACAGTGGTTGTAGCAGTTAGTTTACTTGACTTCTTTCCTTATCAAATCAAATCAAAAGCTTTGTTCATATTGTACATTTATAAGTGGGAAGGGTTATCTTGAGGTTATCTTGAGATGATTTCGGGGCTTTAGTGTCCCCGCGGCCCGGTCCTAGACCAGGCCTCCACCCCCAGGAAGCAGCCCGTGACAGCTGACTAACTCCCAGGTACCTATTTACTGCTAGGTAACAGGGGCATTCAGGGTGAAAGAAACTTTGCCCATTTGTTTCTGCCTCGTGCGGGAATCGAACCCGCGCCACAGAATTACGAGTCCTGCGCGCTATCCACCAGGCTACGAGGTCCCCTGCATGCAGGGGGCCTTTAATGCAGGGTTGCATTAAAGAGTACAGTACATCGGTTACAAAACAGTCACAATAGCAGCAATAACCGGATCAGAAACTTCCTTCATAAGTAGTTATGAAAACCATTACAGTAATGGCTGGATTATAATTAGCTTATAATTTTAAAGATGATATACATTGGAAAAAAAAAGTGTAGTTTACCTTTAGGGCGGTACGCCAGATATTGGCGCAATTTCTATATCAAAATTAAGATGAGAAAACAATTAGAAGCAGAGTTAATATAAAGTAATCATACCAAGAAGTTATAGAAATATGCACACACACTGTATTATACAGTAGTAGTGAAGGTAGACGGTAGAACACATAGAGATCACACTAACGTGATGCATCAAATGAACAAATGCAACCTTGTCGTAGCTCAGTCGATTAAGGCAGTGTCTGGGATGCTCCCGGACGCAGGTTCGAATCCTCGTCACGGCCCTTGTGGATTTGTTCATTAGACAGTGGAAGTTAGAGTTGAGTCAGTAACGGCGCAAGCTTCGTTTTGAACACCATTGAACATGTCTACCTGCGCCAATATAACTTTCCTCTACTGTCTAGGGTATTTCCATGTATGAGAAACATGTGTTCACAGAGACTCCAGGCTGTTTCTCAGCCACTGATGCCGGCAATCTGAGATTGGATTTTGTTAAAAATGTGTATAATTGTATTCATTGATGTATCTATGCTTCCGTGTCCGTAAATATCTAACCATCAAGGTGGATTTTTATGTACAACTTGAACATACACATACAAGCTGGAATCGCTGGGAAGACAGAAGAGTTAGGGGGGGACATGATCACCACATTCAAGATTCTCAAGGGAATTGATAGGGTAGATAAAGACAGTCTATTAACACAAGGGGCACACGCACAAGGGAACACAGGTGGAAACTGAGTGCCCAAATGAGCCACAGAGATGTTAGAAAGAACTTTTTTAGTGTCAGAGTAGTTGACAAATGGAATGCATTAGGAAGTGATGTGGTGGAGGCTGACTCCATACACAGTTTCAAGTGTAGATATGATAGAGCCCGATAGGCTCAGGAACCTGTACACATGTTGATTGACGGTTGAGAGGCGGGACCAAAGAGCCAGAGCTCAACCCCCGCAAGCACAATTAGGTGAGTACAAGACATGTGCAGGCGAGGAGTCACAATAACGTGGCTAAAGTATGTTGACCAGACCACACACTAGAAGGTGAAGGGACGACAACGTTTCGGTCCGTCCCGGACCATTCTCAAGTCGATTGAGAATTGACTTGAGAATGGTCCAGGACGGACCGAAACGTCGTCGTCCCTCACCTTCTAGTGTTGGGTCTGGTCAACAAGGCACGTGTATGTATTGAAGATACACATACAGCCATCCAGTTGGACATACGCATCCAAGCATCCATCTGAACATATGTATTCAACAATGAGTGAATATATCCGTTCAATAATACAATTCAACATATGCATTTATCTATACAAATAAACATATTCGTCCAACATACGACTGAACATATGCATTTATTTATACAACTAAACATATTCGTCCAACATACTACTGAACATATGCATCCCATCTTGCAACTAAACATATTCAACTATATGCATCCAACCACGCAAGTGAACATGAACACGCAACCACACAAGGGAAGATATACATGTAAGGGGGCAAGTGACCAACATAAAGATATACATGTAAGGGGGCAAGTGACCAACATAAAGATATACATGTAAGGGGTGCAAGTGACCAACATAAGACTAAGTGGAGGCTGCCTACTGCCTTGCAGGGGTCGGAGACGTGCCTGGCCATCTTCCTCCCGGCGCTTGTGATGGGCAACTTCATGGTCCTCAATCTCTTCCTCGCTCTCCTGCTCAACTCCTTCAACTCGGAGGAACTCAAGTCTCGCCAGGATGATCTCGAGGACGAGTCCAGGGTGCTCCAGCTCTTCGTCAGAATAAGGGTAAGTCACAGACGGTCTCCGCCTTCGTTTGTCTTTAGTTCACGAGAAATAATTAATGTTTGGGGGTTATATAGTGCTTCCCCGTTTTCTTTGATGGCATTTATAGTCTGCTCACAAACACACATGTGTATGAATACAATTATTATTATTATTATTTCTGGAAAGGGGGACGTTTGGGTCGATTTCCTTACATCTAATGCTTCTGATCACCTAGCAGTAAACAGATAGCTGGGACTAGGCTGGTGTTGCTGGTTGTATTCTATGGGACGTGCTAGGTTCGACAACCTTCCTGGGGCCAGATTCACGAAAGTAGTTACGCAAGCACTTACGAACGTGTACATCTTTCCTCAATCTTTGACGGCTTTGGCTACATTTATTAAACAGTTTACAAGCATGAAAACTTGCCAATCAACTGTTGTTATTGTTATAAACAGCCTCCTGGTGCTTCGGAGCTCATGAACTGTTTAATAATTGTAAACAAAGCCGCCAAAGATTGAGAAAAGATGTACAGGTTCGTAAGTGCTTGCGTAAACCTGGGTTCGAACCCGGGTGTATATAATATATTTATTTATTTATTTGCCTGAATTCTCAGAGGGCTACTAACACTATTGGCCTCGACGAGGACAGGCAGCCGGCGGCTTTTCAAACGTCCTCTAATTTGCCCTGAGGATTTTTTCCCGTTCAATTTTAACGTTTAGCAGTTTTGTCATCTACAGCGCTTCAGCGGGTAGGCGGTTCCATGGATGTATTACCCTGTGGGTGAAAATGCATCTCCTGTTTTCAGTCCCACATTGTGGCTTACCTGGAGAGAGTTTCGAGAGTTCTACTCCCCGAGCTCGGCCTGGGGGCCAGGCTCGAACCCAGGCTTGTGGAGCTTGAAACCGTTGCTCCTTGTTTACGTTACATCTGTCCTTTTGAAGAAATTGTCCGGATCAACATCTTACATTTTGTTGAGTATTTTAAGTTTCGATGAGATGCGCCCTGACATGACTGGTGTGTAGTGTTGTTAGCCCTGTGGCCCTCAACCCTTCCTGGTACGAGAGTTGACTTAGTTCTGCAATGATTTTTGTCGCCCGGTGTTGCAATATATATATATATATATATATATATATATATATATATATATATATATATATATATATATATATATATATATATATATATATATATATATATATATATATATATACATATATATATATATATATATATATATATATATATATATATATATATATATATATATATATATATATATATATATATATATATATATATATATATATATATATATATATATATATATATACATATATATATATATATATATATATATATATATATATATATATATATATATATATATATATATATATTAGAAGCTATGAAAGCGACATCGACCAGAACCGTACAGCACATCCCCAAAGCAGCCAACCCCCTCTCCCCTCCCTCCTGAGAAAATTGATTGTTCATTGTGCACCCCTTACTCATCCTGTGAGCGGTAGTTCATTGTGCATCCCTTACTCATCCTGTGAGTGGTAGTTCACTGTGCACCCCTTATTCATCCTGTGAGTGGTAGTTCACTGTGCACCCCTTACTCATCCTGTGAGCGGTAGTTCACTGTGCATCCCTTACTCATCCTGTGAGCGGTAGTTCACTGTGCATCCCTTACTCATCCTGTGAGCGGTAGTTCATTGTGCACCCCATACTCATCCTGTGAGCAGTAGTTCACTGTGCACCCCATACTTATCCTGTGAGCGGTAGTTCACTGTGCACCCCTTACTCATCCTGTGAGCGGTAGTTCATTGTGCACCCCATACTCATCCTGTGAGTGGTGTTCACTGTGCACCCCATACTCATCCTGTGAGCGGTAGTTCACTGTGCACCCCTTACTCATCCTGTGAGTGGTAGTTCACTGTGCACCCCATACTCATCCTGTGAGTGGTGTTCACTGTGCACCCCATACTCATCCTGTGAGTGGTAGTTCACTGTGCACCCCTTACTCATCCTGTGAGCGGTAGTTCACTGTGCACCCCATACTCATCCTGTGAGCGGTAGCGCAAAAGCATTACAGAGGGCACAAAAGGTCTTTATCAGATCTCATCTTAGATTATTACATAACCAATTTCATCTATCCTTCACACCTTATAGTTACAATGTCAGCTAGTTACAGAGAAAGTGCTATTACAAGAGCTACATATTTACAGTAAGTCATCATACATTAATGGTAGGTCTTATCGCTAATACATAATAGTTTGACCAATGGGGATATTACAGAGTCATAGGGGAGCTTCTGTTTATTATTAGTCCTCACAATACACTACTTGTTTCTGAATCTCATATGTCGTTCATCTACTGGGAGCAAAATGTGGATACAGTGCAAGGATTTCAGGTAATTTATCCATTGTAATAAGATAGGTTGCCATATCATTCAGAGTGAGCTTAGATTTATCTCTAAATGGCTCAATTTTACTACAATCCAAGATATTGTGATCGAGTGTGTGTCCCTGTCTTTGTCCACACACTTTACACTTTACTTCATCTAGATTCCTATACAAGCCGAACTGCCAGAGATACTTGTAGCCAAGTCTTATACGAGCTGTAACAACATCTGTTAGTCTACTGACTTTTTTACTTGCCCCATACACATTTTTACTTCACACATTTCATTGTGATGAACAATGGACCTGCTAGTTCCAGTTTGCACAATTCTACTTTCTTCAAATCCATCCAGGAGTTCTCGTCTAATGACACTTTTAAGGGACCTATTTGATAACTCAAGATTCAATTCAATACTGTCTTTATTTACTGCAGCCTTAGCAAGGGCGTCAACTTTGCCATGTTCCTGCTGGCCAATGTGAGAAGGAATCCATAACATTTTTATATTTACCCTCTTGCTAAGTATTCTTATATATCTACGTCTAGCTTCCAAGACAAGTACGTTATTACTTGATTGCAAACTGTTTATTGCTCGTAGTGAGGAAAGGGAGTTGGAAATAATTAAGCTGTCTACTTCAGTGTTGTCAATAATTTCGAGTGCTACAAGTATTGCTACCAACTCGGCTTGCAGTGTGGATGCCCAGTTACTAATTCGGATATTCCTTTGAGTTGTGCTGCCATCGGGCTGATGAGCAATAACAGCACTTCCTGCCCTCCCTGTAGCTGTATTGAGTGATCCGTCAGTGTATATGGTCTGTGCTATGTTGTTTTCAGCTTGTATATTGTGAATGTGTTCTATGGTGCTTAATTTAGCAGCAAGCTGAGCATGAGGGTTGTTTGTGATTAGTTTCTTGGTGGGGTATGGAGGGGTCAGGATGTCAAAAGGTACTATCAGCCAGGGTGGAAGGAAGTGCTGTACTCTTTCATCTGTATATACATCGTGCAGTCCCATCATTTTAATATGAGTGGCAGTTCTTTGAATCCATTTAGACTCGCTATTTCCATTTCGTATGTGTTCTAACAGTGAGAAAAGTTAATGACTATCCGGGAACGACCCAAGAATGCCACCACCTCCTACTGTTTGGCTACATATGGCTAGCCAGCGACACATGTTTGTCTACAAGGAGAGACAAAACCATAGCTGCCTCAGTCATCAAGGCTATAAATTATTTTCCCAGGAAGGACAACCAGGTGCACCTTCCCACTGGCGCGAGAAACACCCACGGCAGCAAGAGCAACAGTGGCGTATCCCAGACATCAAAAATCAGAGCAACAGTCACCAAGAAAATAGAAGAAGGAAACACTATAGGCGCAAAAAGTCATCACAGGCGAGGACACAATTTTTTTTTGGAGCATCTCTCTGTGCTCTAAAGAAAATGGATAGAGGGATCAGGCCAATAGCTGTGGGCAATTCCCTCCGGCGTCTCGTCGCAAAGGCTGCTGCAAGAACAGTTAGCGAGGCAGCGGCCAACATGCTAAAGCCAAAACAGCTCGGGTTCGGCATTCCACAAGTGTGAGAGGTAGCAACTCACGCAGCTCGAGCTTTCGTTGCTAACATCACAGACGAAAAGGCCCTGATCAAGCTGGATTATAAAAATGCCTTCAATTTGGTGCGGAGGGATGCTGTACTCCGTGCGGTTCATAGTCATTTCCCTTCCCTCTACCCTTTTGTACATTCATGCTACAGTATGGATCTAAAGCTACTTTTTGGCGAATATGAAATTGACTCGCGAGAAGGCGTCCAACAGGGTGACCCCCTTGCTCCTCTCCTTTTCTGCTTAGTCATCAAACAAGTCACAGAGGTCCTGTCCAGCGAGCTTAACATCTGGTTCTTGGATGATGGTACCCTAGCTGGTTCCCAAGACTCCATCCTGGAGGACATCAGAAAAATCCAAGAGCAAGGTGCAGTTTTAGGCCTCACCCTGAACCCTTCTAAATGTGAAATAATATGTTCCAACCAGGGCATCGTAGAGAGAATAGAGGGTCTTCTGCCAAATATCCATAAAACTAAACCTGAAGACAGTACACTCCTAGGAGCTCCCCTGGGGTTGAAAGCCATCGATGAGGTCCTTGATAAGAAAATCGCCGACCTTAAGAGGATGGATGGGAGGATTGAGGATATCGATGCTTATGGCACACTTTACCTCATCACCAGATGTCTGTCCCTCCCCAGGTTAACTTACTTTCTGAGGTGTTCACCATCCTACAGTAGCCAAAAACTAGATGAATATGACCGGTTACTGAAATCAGTGCTAGAAAAAGCCATCAATCTCTCTCTTGATGACCTACAGTGGAAACAAGCCTCTCTTCCCGTAAGACTTGAGGTCCTCGGAGTTCGAACAGCAACGCAAATCGCTGTTCCAGCCTTCCTGTCCTCGGCATCCGACGACCTTGTGAAGGAAATTCTACCTGACTACTTAGCACTTTCATCAATTTAATTCGCCATTGTTAGACTTGCTCTCTAAACGTTACACATTATTAAATTTACCCTTGTTACACTTACCAAGTTTAAAATACAAGGTTAATCTCACAGTGCTAAACTTTAATACAACAAATTACAG